CCCATGCTCAATTATGGTGGTGGCAGAGGGGGGGACAGGAAGGACAGACGGGGGGCTGGCAGACGCAGGACGAACACAGAAGGCAGTGAATCACACAGATAAATCAGAGCATCTGGGCCCCTACATCACCTCCCCTCCGAGAGGAGAAGGCTGGATGTTGATGACTTTGTGATGGATGACTGATTCAGTATCCATCAGACCTGCACATGGATCACAGCGAGATTGGACAGAACATTGGCTCAGCTAAACTGTCAGCTCAGGAGTTTGTGTGGAACATCTTTACACACAGAGAAAAGAAAATGCTTACGTGGTTAATGTATTTGAGCTGTGAGCTCAGTGGGGCGTCATTTTAATTTCGGGTTATTTATGATACACAAATATCTTTAAAATGACCTCAGATGGATGTAAATGTAAAGTTGTTTTATTGAAAATACATTATAGCTTGATTTACATGTGGAAGACAGACGCAGTGGAGAGTAAAACCCCCAAAACTCTGCTTAGCCAACACTTTTATGTGCTCCCTGCTCTTGTCCAGATAAATAACCTTTAACATCCAAATAAATCTTAGAAAATGAATGAACAGATGCTGTGGCAGAACTTAGACGAGGATAGAGTCTGTTGAACAAAACAAATGAATGCTTTTCTGACAGTGTAGTCTGTGATAAGAACATGAAGATAATCAGATGTAGGAGGAGATGTAATTTTTAGGACACGTCATTGACAAATGTAAAAAGCTTCACAAAATACATCAAGGAAATCGAATAACGAGACTGAAGATGCCAGTTTACGCAATCAGAAGCTTAGACTGTATAAAGACGGTCAAAACTGCGGCTCCCCAAAAGTGAGCCTGAGAGTCTTGATCACCCCCTGGTGGTAAAGGTGATTACCACTGCATCCTCTATGTTAATGGATGGGACACTGAGTACAATAAAAGGTCAAAGTACACGTCAAATCAATTTTTTTCAAAGGTGGTTTCTGATGTTTGAGATAGTTCTTGATGTATGATCATGTTTCCGTTATAAAGTTGTAAGTTAGAACAGGAAACAGGAAGAAATGACATGACTGACAGCTGAGACTTACCTGCAATTGGTCGAGTGACGCGTCTCCTACGGTCAAAACTTTTTCTCGGGGGAAATATCTTTGGAAATACCCGAGAAAAAAAAGTGTTTTTCTTTCAGTAGATGTGGGAGGAAGCAGAAACATGTATTATACATAAACATCCAGCTTAGGTTAATTGAAGATTGCCAGTAGGTGTGAATGTGAGGATGAATTCTTTGTACGTTGGCCCTGCGATATGTCTGCAACTCATCCAAGGTGTTCCCTGCCTATCGCCCAAAGTCAGACGGGACTGGCTCCAACTCCCCCTGGCCCCTCAAAGGACAAGCGGTATAGATAATGGATGGATGGATGATAAGATAAGCATCATATCAGATGCAGCCACCAGGTGTGGGGGATGAGGGAATGAGAATTTAATGTAGCTTGAACTCTAAGACAAATTTAAAACGAGGGATTTATGGTTCATCACTGCAGCAGCAACATTAGAGAAGCTGGACCCATGAGCCCCGTCCTCCCCCACACTAAAGTTTCTCATTGTTTATTAAAGCAGACGCTCTCCTTTGTTGTGACTCTGCAGAACAAGCATTTTGGGAGGCCACCTTTCTGAAATTAGAAATTACCCATGAGTGAAAGAGGTGGCGGCTGATGCTCTGCCAAACACACTCCCACACTGTAAGTGCTCCCAGTTCAGTCGTCCTCTCCTGACTCCTGCCAATCGTCCCATAGGAGAACAAGAGCTTCTGGCTCATCCTCACAGAGTCACTGCTTTAACAGAGGCAGCCTCCACACAAGGGCAATATTTCCTGCTACGCTATAATAAAGCAACCTTGCTTCATTGTAAATTATCAAAAGAACGCCACAAAAACACATTTGGATCGAGTAGAAGATTATTCAAATTGAACAGTGGCAAAAACTGGAAGCAGTTAATGTTTGCCATATCAGGAAGCCTCCTGAAATGTCAGACGATCATAAGTTCAGTCTGTTGTCCTTTAAATGTGCAATACTTTCTCTCACGCATCACGTGAAGCCTTTAAACTAGATTTTCTATTTATTATCAAAACAGACCACACGGCTGCTGGGAGGTCACTTATTATATTTAGACTGTTTAGTCAAGTCCATGTCCCATTCACTAACATGGAGGAGGCTGGCTTTAATGAACTATACTGCAGCCACCGGACGGCGACCAAAATGCTTTGGCTTCACATGCATCTTTATTTACAGTCTCCAATTTCACACCATACAACACTCAGCCACATGCTGATACATTGATCCCACTGAACAACACATCTCAGACCAGTGTTTGTCGTGGCTCACGATCTGGGTCAGGACTGCATCTACAGACATGAGAGACGTCTCCACCCTGGCAAGACAGTAAATAAGGATATTGCCTAAAATTTTGATCTATTCTTTTAAGCTGTTGGACATCGATATCAGCCTGCAGCGAGGACTTGCTGGAGAAAATCTCCTCTTGTTATAGCTGAAACCAGAACCTCCTCGCTCAGTGCCAGATGCACCACCTCCCAATCAACATCTGTATGTTCCATTAAAATAAAACACATAAATCAGATGTAACAAGACATGTCAGAGTCAATCACAACCACCTTGTGTCTCTGAGGCGAACCAGCCCCGCTGCACTGGCGGTAAATGGACCATAGTGGAGGCAGAGTGATTTGCATAAACGTGCAGTCGAGCTGCTGACGCAGCTGAAAACGCTGACAGATGGTTTTAATTCCAGTAAGTGAGCTTCTGTGTGAGCATAGAGTCGCAGCTGATCTACAGCACATCGAGCGGCTCTTTCATGCCCACAGCCCTGCACCTGACTGTAACATGGTGGAGAGCTAAGGATGAGGATGACAGACAGATAACCAATCAAAGCGAGAGGCGTCACAGGTTGGGAGGTCAGCCGGGCAGATCACACCCCTCAAGGCCATTGACCGCAGATTGGAATTGAGCTGAGTGGGTTGTCAGTTATATGGCGACCATAGTCGTTACACCAAGTGATTCTGGTTCGGCATCAAGGACAGCGGGATGTAAGCAATGCTGGAGCGATTACGTGTGTTACGTACGGCAGAATGTCTTCAGAGGGAGTTAAAGAGAAGCTGACGCTTTATTTCGTTTAACGGAAGGTTTTCAGTTCAAAGACTGTAAATGTGCTCGATTAAAATTCGGTAAATTAATCGAGATCACAGGCACATCGCCTCTCATCACTACTACTTCTAGAATTGTATCGTATTGTGTTTCCTTATTTATATGTAACTACAAAACGGAATGATTTATCCTTTAATTCACTCAATTCTTTCCGTCCTGTGGCGTCAGTTTCTTTCTGTGTATTTACTGTAAGACATTGACCTGCAGCCTCAGGGTTCACATCCAGAAAATGATCAAAGTTTTGCATCTGAATGGCCGAACATAAATAATCTTGATGTACTTTTCTGCTTTGCATCAAATTTAACCTCGGCCGTGCTGGAGAGGAACCATCGATCTCCTCATTTGTCTTCCAGACATTTAGCGACATTGATCCAGGGTTCTGCCTTTGTCTCCGTCACTCTGCACCAGTCTGCTTTGTAATGTCTTCATTTTCTGCTGTCTCTCCCTAACCTGTTTTACTGTGTCCACCACAGAGCTGGCTTTTCAGATGGGACCTCATTACCAGGCCCAGTGCTCAGGGAAGACATTTGATCCTCACTGTAAAACTCATAAAACGCTTCGTCATAAGCAAAACGGACTCTCTGAGGACAACACACCGCGCTGTCGGCTACAGTAAGTTTCAGATACGTCATGTGGATGAGTCAGTCGATGAGCAGCCATACTTATAAACTGACAACCAAACAAAGAATGCTCACAAGCACAGGTATCATTATCCTTTGCCATTTTATGAGGATTAAAATACCAGATAATTTAATTCACTTACCACCACTGTGGTACAGACTGAAAAATCTATGGGTGGTGTAGCCGTAAACTTTTGATAAACATTCACGGTCCCCTGAGGATGAAATCTACCGATGATGGTGTCCCCCTGACTCGTCCTCTAGAGCCACCTTGAGGCTGAGTTTTGTATTTCTTTTATATTTTTTAGTGAGAACATTCCCATCAACCATAAAAGCATTTCGATTTTGATAAATGTATGACTGGACGGCTGTATGATTRCTGTTAGTTTAGGTTTTTCTCATCCCTTTCATTATAGCATAGTGTATTTTAATTTTTCACTTTTAATTTTTTTTTCTTACAGACCTTTTATCTATTTATTTTACAATGCCACATTGTTACAATGACAATAAAGGTTTCTGATTCTGATTTAGATGTTAGATGTGTAGCCTGTGATTAAATCCACATAAAGCAGTAAAGTCAGTGGATTTCCACACAAGAAGCCTCTGCACATCTTCAGCAGCAGCAGCAGGAGTAAATGAGAGCTGTCAGAGACTTAACTTGTCGATGACGAGTGGGAGACAGAAACAGGGCCACGTCGTCCTCCTTGATCTCGGGGCAATGCGCCTCTGCATCTCATCTCCTGAGGGCAACAAGCTACACCTCCCTCTGCTGAGCACATCTTCAATTGTCTGAGTTATGTCACCATTGATCAACGCCAAAGTTCACCACACTGTGTGAGAAGATGAGTTCTGCGGCCCTTAATCTGGAGATGACAGGCTGGTCGAGGCCTGTGTTGCATATTATATCAGTGTGGGGAGTTATTTATTTTCCCTGCTTAGTGGATACAGACGATGCTACAAGGAACCGTTTTGAAGCAGGATTTTATCATTTAATGGATAAAATGAAAACTGGCTTTTGATACAATCCATTAACAATTTCAACGAGTGAATCTTAAACCATCTAGACAAAAAAAAACCACAACCGTCACCCTAACCCTCTACCTCCCCCTGCTGGCTCAACTGTGTCTCGCAATCACTCACTTCCCATGCGACTGGGTAAAAAAAGACACCCTTTCACAACAGTAGTGATTTTAATAAACTTTTCAATTCACGTGTCATATTGCAGATGACATGATTAGTTTTTATATTACCAAAGATCATTGAAAAATGCATCATTATAAATACACGACGACATCTCATATATACTTTTTTTTGTACAGAATCATTTCAAAAAGGTCCCTTAGTTGTGAAAGTAAGTGTACAACCAACCTTAGAACTGATGCGAATCTGAAAAACTATATTTTCCAAATAGAAAAGATTTTTAAATACAAGTTCGAATTTTATTTAAAAGGGTTGTGGCTATAAAGGGAAATATTTTTATTTTGATCTTGACGTTTTATTGCTAAAGAGACACCCTTATAATCTGATGTCCACTCAATGAAAAAGTTACAATACTTTGACATATATTCAATTAAATAATTGATATAAAAAGGCAATGTTGGCAAAAAGCAGAAGCGAACAGTATAAGTGCATTTACAAAAAATAAACTTTCTCTGAATATTTAAAAGATACAAATGCGAAGGGTTGGAGTGTGACCGCCTGGTTTAACGGTGTAAAGCTGAATATGGTCAAAGAGATGACGGAGTGAGAAGATGAACAGGAAGACGTGAGAAGCTCTTGCGCTCCATGGCTGAGTAGTTTTTTTCTGATTCAATTGCCCTCTTTCCCCTCCATTTGACAATCAGTCAATCTCCTCATTGAGTTCTATTCCTCAATGCCAATCTTCATCGTCATCATCTTCTCCTTCAGATGACTCCTCATGGCTGCTGACCTGCTCGGTCAATCCATTCCCATTTCCTCCCTGATGAGCCGCCACCATTGACGCCGCTGCCGCGGCCTTCTTGGCTCGAGCTTCAGCCGCGGCCTGCTCCTCTTCCTCTTTCAGACGCAGCGCCGCCGCCTTCTTCTCCTGTTCGGCGTGACTCTTCATGTGGGCGCTTCGACTCTTTACTTTATTAAACACTCTGGAATACAAAGATAAAATGATGTAACGCTACGTCTGAATAATCACTCTCTCCTTAAAACTGGTGAAACTCGTCAGGCCTATTGTGCGCTTTTCCCAGCATGCACCAGGCCTCAAACCAGTTCACTCAGTCGATACAGAGAATGATAATTGAGAACCATAACAGTAATTTATGGAAAAACGTTCCTTGAGTTTTATCTGGCTGCAGAAAAACAAAAAAATCTATGAAAACACCTGTCCCCCCCCACCTGTCTTTTTTGTGGTGTTTTGGCACGAAAAAACCTGTCTAACTAATGTTCATCTATATTTTAAAATAATGCAATAATATCCTTGATAAATAATAATAAACTATTCTGAGTATTACAAACATTATTGAAACTGCAACACTGCAAAGCAGGCGAGCGATCACTTAGTGCTGACTGCAAAACCCATGCGTGAGATCACAGCCTGAGTTATGAATGAAAACAACGTATACCTGCCACATTTCTTGCACGGAAACACTGCGTCCGGATCCAGCGGGGGCTTTGTCGGCGCTCTTGTCTTCTTTGCCGCAGGGTCGCCCCGAGGCCTGTGATGTGCCGACGGGTGATGTGCCGACGGGTGATGTGCCGACGGGTGATGAGCCTCCTTATTCACAGCGTCTGGCTCTTTGATCACCAGCATTGTTCCTGCCTGGAGCACCAGAGAAGTATAAAGAAGTTTTGAAGTTTCAGTGAAAGTTCTTCTCCTGGTGTTGATTAAACCACTGAAAACACATCTCTGTTCCCGACAACACATTTAGATGATTTTCTCCATTTAAAAAAATCCCTTTGTGATTCTTTCTGATATTTTATTGACCAAATGTCAAATCGATATATCAAGAAAAAGAATTAATAACAACCAATAACAGCCCTATGATGCAGTGAAAGACTTACATAGTCATGAGACTGTAGTGACTGAGCGACCCTGGCCTGATGGTCGCTCTCATTAACCTGGTCGTAAGACGCATCCCTCTTGTCGTCTCCATCCGTCTCTCCAAGAGCCAGTTTCGACTGCTGTGAGTTCTGTGATGAAGAAGTTCTTTTAAAAATAATATTTAACCAGCAATTGGTGTGTTACATTTGAGCCACGTTAACGCCGCTCTACCTTGACGTCCACCACAGCCTCTGGATGTTTCTCCACTGGTGAGTCTGGAGGTCCGAAGGTTAAAATACTGTTGCGACCGATCTTCACCTGCTTCTTGTACGTGTAGTAGAACTCTACACACTGAGCCACAGTCTTTGTCTGCACCTTTAAACCAGCCCAACAAAACACATGACATCCACACATTATATTTGTGTACGCAGCTCTACGGAGTATACATTAGAGCAGTTGGTGTCTCGTGGTATTGATACTGAAATAGTGACCACATTCCCCAGAAATCCAGTTACTTCCTGACTTAAAGAGGATGTGGCTAGTTATTTTAGAATTTTCTTGTCATTTGACATTTTAGTTCAGTTTGTGTTGTAAGAGGAGCTGCTGCTTCCTGTTTGTAATCGTGCACATTCTCCAACACACATTCACATGCTGTAAAATGCAGAGATCTGGGAACGAGTAATGTTTGAATGTTTGTGTTCATTTTAAGTCATTATAATAATAATGGCTCAAAATGAGTGTCATAGCATTTCCTGATACTACACAGGGCAGATTTAATTAAAATCAAATGCATTTTTACATTTATTTGGGATGATTAGTGCTTGTTTATGCTGCAGGGTGAAATTAACGAGCATACCAGTTTCTGCACCAGAAAGAAGTCCTTCCTGTAGGCAGAGATGCCCTTATTGAAGTAGCGCTTCTCTTCTGCGGTCCAGCTGTCAGAGCCTGCAAGTTCATTCAGATGCAGTAAAATTTAATGTGTTCTTACAGGAATGAGAAAACTTTTAGAGAGGAATT